ATCATTATGTACTGCAAATACGTACTAATCAAAACACAGCAAAACAAAAGGTTTTTTGTTTTTTAAAGTTTAAAATAAATTCAAGCTGGGCATATTGGTGCACACCTATAATCCTAGCACTCTGGGTGGCTAAGGCAGGAGAATCACAGGTACAGCCCAGCCTGGGCAATTTAGTCTGATCCTATTTCAAAAATTAAAAGGGCTGGCAGCTGGGCAGGGTAGTACATACCCATAATCCCAGCACTCAGGAGGCTGAGGCAGGAGGATCACCGCGGGAAAGTTCAAGGCCAGCTAGGCTACACAGTGAGTTCAAGACAAGCCTACACTACATGGCAAGACCTTGCCTCAAAACAAAAGCAAAAGGGGCTGGGGATTTAGCTCAGCGGTTCCGCAGCCTGCCTTGAAAGTGCAAGGTTCTGATTTCAATCCCCAGTACCAAAAAACCAAACCAAAACAAAACAAAAACAAAAGCAAAAGGGGCTGGGGCTGAGGATGTGACTCACTGAGGCAGCCCTGGGTTCACTCCTTAGTACCAAAAAAAAAGGTGCTAAGCCTTTACTTAAGTACCTAGCTTCAGGTATTTTGTTCTGGCAACAGAAAACTAATTTCATCCACTTAGAATGCTTACCTGGACCCTCTTTGATTTCTCAACATGTCTCTGAAGTAAGTAGTTGCAAGATTGGGGAAAAATTTGCTATATATATGTATTTTTTTAAAATTGTTCTGGTTTTTTGAAACATAGTCTCTCTAGTTCAAGCTGGCTTCAAACTCTAATAGACATTTTTTAGATATTAAACATGATAAAGATGGCATCTGTGACGGTTAATTATATGTGTTAACTTTACTAGGCCACAGGGTACCCAGATAGCTGGTCAAACATACTCCTGGGAATCCCCGTGAGGTTGTTTTAAATTGGTAAGCAGTGCAGAGCACTCTCCCTAACGTGGCCTGGTCTCATTCCATCCCTGGAAGACCTGAAAAGAACACAGAGGGAATTCCTCCTGCCTGGCTGTCTTTGGGCTGGGACGTCAGCTTTCTTTTTGCCTTTGAACATGAACTGAAACCTCAGCTCTTCCAGGCTCTCAATCCCACCAGCCTCGAGACCCTGCAGGTCTAGGGACTCATCAACCTCCACAATTGTGGGAGCCACTTCCTCACACTAAGTCTCTCTCTATGTGCACAGTCACATGCTGTAAGGTCCCATTTCTCTGGAGAAGCCTGAGTAATGTAGCATCATTCCACGATCGGCAGACCTTCCAGGGGTTGGGAGGAATCATGCAAAAATGTACCGCAATGGCGGCCCCACAGCCCCTGGTACTCACTGCTGCCAGCTCCGTCCCTGTCCCCGTGGGCTGACTTCCTGGTGCAATGGAGGGACTGAGCGGTGACCCCCCCAACAGCCAGGGTGGGCAAGCTATGTCTCCAGGAGTGCCAAGTGCTACTCAAGCAAAGTGTGGAGCTCAGAGTGGAAAAGAAAAACGTTACAACGCTGGGTCAGTGCTGGCTGAGAGCAGGAAGAAAGGGGTAGATGTAGGGGAAAAGCAGTTCTCGAGACAGGACCAGCAAGCCTCAGTCTGTCCACTGAGAGCAGATGAGCCTGACTTCAAGCCTAAGGTAGGACATAAGGAACTTTGTAAGAAACAGAGCTGAGGACTGGGGGTGTAGCTCAGCAAGAGTGCCTGCCTACCATGTGCAAGGCCTTGCATTCAATCCCCAGCGCTGCAAAAAGAAACAGCATGGCAGAGCTGATCAGTGGCCTCACATCTTGGTATCACAGTAAGAGGCGTGCAGAGGGCAGCAAGGCTCTCTGACTGGGGCAGGCTGAGCTCTTGTACTCAACACCGTCAGTAGTACATGAATCCAAGACCCAACATTACTACCCTCAACCTGGGCCACAGGACAGCACTCCAAGTCCTTGGCCAGAGTTCAGAGAAATGGTCATGATCTAAGTTGGACAAAGAAGTCACCCTGGTACCTCAAGTAATATCAGTGGGAGCCTGGGGCCAGTGGTGGCTGTGTTCACTCCTCGGAGTAGGCAGCCTAAGCACAGAAACAATGAAGAGACAGAGAGGGATCGGGTCTCTGCCAAGCCCTCAGGATTACCCTGAACTTTCCAGTTATGGGAACCAGTCAGTTCCATTTACTTAAGAGGTCAAGCTCTGGGTCTTTCGGCCCTCTCAGTCAGCCACCTAACACCGGCCACACCTCCCCAGTGCATGTCACCACTGCGTAGGCACCAGCTCAGTGCTCCCCAAAGCCACACCTGTCCTTCCTACTGGCATGTCAATCCCGTCACTCTCACCAAAGCGCACCCATTCTTCAGGGCCCAGGAAGCTTCCCTGACTGCCTGGTTTTTGCATTACCAGGTTTCCCTTCCTGGAAGCTGGCATGGAAAACCCTAGAGGGCAGGGACCGAATGTGTTCATCTCTTTGCATCCTCCACAAGGACCACTGGGGTCAGTACACAGTGAATGAATACTGCATAGAAAAGCAAAATCCAGTGAGCCTATAAACAAGGGCCCAGTGGACATATAAATGAGAATGACTTAGGCCTGTTGGCATAACTGGCATACAATTTCCCTTCCCCCGGAGATTATGAGGCAAAGAGGTGGAAAAATATAAGGGACACAATCGCCCTTATTAAAACAAACTCCATCCACCAATCCAAGGTTATTCCAGGATATTCTCCTTCAGTAGTGGGGCCGTTATGAATTCAGGTGAGAGACCCCCAAGATGGAGGTGGAACAGGGGTCACCTGGCTACATGGTCCACCCACCCACAAAGAGATGTCTCTTTACAGGGTTGACATTTTTTCTTTTTTTTTGATACTGGGGATCAAACTTGGGTCCTTGCACTTTTGAGGCAGGCGGCAGAACTACTGAGCTAAATCCCCAGCCCAACTTGACACTTTCTATAATGACAAGGACAGAAACCTTCTGAACAGGGGTGTAGCTTCTGCACTAAGGTGCTAGAAGCCCTAAAACAAGATGCAGCACCGGTGTCTCTGAAAGTTCCTTGATTCCCTAACTCCTTGGACACAGCTGGGCCAAGAGTCCACCACTCTCTGTGTTGCCTGGTTGAATGGGAAGGCTGGTCCACCAGTCCTTCAGCTTGGGGACCAATCAAATCTGTTTTGATGAAACTGCCCTGTCCTCAAATCCTATAGTGAGGAACTGACTTTTTTTTTTTTTTTTTGGTACCGGGGATCAAACTCCGGTCCTTGCCCTTGCGCAGCAGTCAGCGAAACCACTGAGCTAAGTCCCCAGCCCAGAAACTGACTCTTGATTCCCAAGTCACTGTCCCTAACACAGAGCTTTCACTTTGGGTGGACCCATCCCAAAGGAGACATTTTCTCTCATGCACTGCCCAACCCCACCAAAAAATGCACAGGAAGAGGGAAGACTGGAGGCTATTTGAAAAATAAGGCCCATAGTTTATTGGTTCCTTTGTGTCCCCTTAATGTAGTGGCCCAGAGGGCGGACCATTGTGGGTAAGATGCCAGCTGAAGATGCTCTGGTCATCTGGGGAGACCTGGCTTTCCCCAAGGGCAACAGCCCACTGCTGTGGCCCAATGTCTCCCTCTCAGTGACCTTCACATGCCTCGACCTCCTTCTGAATGTCACATGATGGGTCAGCAGGAACAGCGCTGTCCCAGCCCCTATTATAGCACCTGGCTGCAACTGCTCTCTTCCCCTTCTACCAGTCTCAGGTCCTTCTACCACACCCCATGTGTCCCCCACTTTCCTGTCCTCAGATGCCTTCACTGACTGCAAGCACCCCCACGCTGACACCAGTCAAGAAAGCTGGTCCCCCTTCCCTTCTCAATGCCCCCAGGGGTCCCTCTGCTTTAGTGCATCAGATGGCTGTCACCTTTTCTCTCATCATATCCTGGCCACATTGTGCCACTCCCTTGGTGGGAATGCCCCCTCCCCAGATGCTCTCCCACATTAAGCTGGGCTCCAGGCGACTCCTCAACTCCTCGCGGAAGCCTTTGCTAATCCCCTGGATCACTGCTCCTGGGTGTCCAGCAACACTTCAACTGCCTTCCTGCAGAGGTGGCCATCTCCTGAACTACAGACATAAAATCCTACAGTATCTTGTCAGTCACTGGTTCTCCTCTCTCACAAGGACCAACGGAGCTTTGTGTCTAACCCAAGGGCCCTTTCAGAGAGATGTCTAAAGAAAAGTTGAGAACACACTCCCAGATCCTGAGAAAGATGTGTCCTTTCTCAGGAATTAAAACAAAAACTAACCCCTCACACACAAAACCCACCTAAATGGGCTATTCCCCCAAAGGAGCCCAAAGCTCTTTGTGCCATACACTTGAGGCTTGGCAACTGGGCCACATGAATGGTGATCTGGGGCACCCATGGAAATCTGGCACTGCCCAGGGCCAGGCTCCCAGAACCACTTCTCCTCTCAGGCCTCCCCCAGGATCATTTCCTATGGTTTCAAAATAGAGGGTTCAAAAGGCCAGGGATTTAACTCAGTGGTTCCACTGCCTGCCTCGAAAGCACAAGGTCCCAAGTTCGATCCCCAGTACCAAAAAAAAAAAAAAAAAACGGGCTGGGGATTTTGCTCAGCGGTTTCGTCACTTGCTGTGCAAGTGCAAGGACCTGAGTTCAATCCCCGGTACCATAAAAAACAAAAAAAACAAAATAGGGGGTTCTTCTGCCAAGCATCTGGGCCTCCCCATAGGGAGCTGGAGTTCATGGCCTACTCTCTCTTCTGCAGCTAGCCAGGTGATACAGGGTTTGACATTGAGGACTTGGGCGGAGCCATCTCATTTCTCCCTGTCTGGCCTGGAAACTTCCTGTGTGGAAGTCGTCAGGCTGAGGAGGTTCTGGGAGGTGAAAATGTCCCTGTGCGGCATTGTGTGGAAAGCCCTTCTGACTCTGTTTTTAATAGCAGCCTCATGGACATCTCCTGCTTCTTTAAGAGGAAAGGAACAAACCAAGTTGGGAAAACTGTGACAGAAAAATGACAGGCAGCCACTGACATTGACATTCTTATTTGTAGTTTCAGATTTTTTCACTGTTTTGCTTTTTAATTATTTTTCCTAGAAAAGAAAAACACAACCAGGGGGATTTATATGACAAACTATCAGTGTTGGGATGGCAGGGTGAGAGAGAAAGAAAGGTGAGAGGCATGGGAACCTAGTAAAAAGAGGGTTCCAAATCACGTGGCGCGGTCCATAAGGGCATGTGCAGGTCCTCGACCGTTCCCTTTGGCATGCGTGTTGGGTGCCTGCTCAGACATCCAGGATGCTAATGACGGACTCAGGACTTTACAGAAAGATGTCATTCGGCTCCTTGGCTTTGTGCTCAAGTATCATCCAGCAGCCTTTCCTAAGGGTCTGAAAGAGTAGGGGTCACATCGGGGCACACTTTGGCATCAAGCAGTGAATTCCAGGCAGCCACTCACTCACATGCAGACGTGGTCTCCACACAGGCATCTGTCTAGACATCCCTGGTCAACCCAGCCCAAGGCAGATGATGACACCACAGTCTCCTTCTAGCCACAGCTCAGTGGTGATGTCCTTTCTTCGTTCCTGCTGAAAACTGCCTATCCCTTTGCAGGTGGGAGGAGACCGGAATCAGCCTCCTTAGCTCAACACTGGACACAAACTCCAAACAAGCCAGGAACCAGACAAGGGCAGCTTAGTCCTCAGGATCCACACTGAGGGTCTCCTGAGTTTTGCCTACTTTATCCCCCAGGTCTTGGGGCAGAAAATTCAGCCAAACCCAGAGCAAATGGGGTAAACCAGAGCAACAGCAAGGCAAGAAGGAGCCAGGAGCACGCTGCCAGCCCAGAGAACATTCAAGAAAGGGAGAGAGGCATGCAGCAGGCTGTAGCCCCAAGGTGCAGTCTAGGAATAGCCAGGCCTGCTTAGTCTGATCCCAACACGGGGGTCCTGCTGGCTCGAGTTCCCCGCGGACAGGGGAGGGTCCTGCCCTGCTGTGGCCCCTATTCCTGAGCTGAGGCCAGGCTACGTCTCAGAGCCACAGTCCTGAGGAGCACCACGCTGGCCGGCCAGCCAGGCCACAGTCCTCAGCCCCTGGAGAGACCCCAAGGCTCTGATTCCACAGGGAGGCCCCAGGGAGCCCTAGGGGCTGGCGGGAAGGAGCCGGGGGAGAGAGGCTGCATTCTGCATGGGGAGACTTGGAGAAGGGGACCATGGGCTCAGAAGGAACTGTGGTCCCAAATATTGCAGAGCCCAAGGGATGGGATACATTTTTGAAAAAACAACAACAGCTTATTTTAAAAAGAGAATATGCTTGCTGTTGCTTGATTTTGTTTTTCCTTTTAAAACCACTCACATTTAAAAGGCAAAGGGGCTGGGAGACTGAATCCCCTTCACGCTGATCCGATGTAGGCACCGGGAGGCCTCGGTCTCCTGCCAGCTCTGCTTTCCTTGCCTGACACCAGACACATAAGCCAGGGCAGGGCAGGGAGAGCAACTGCTGTGCTCCCCATCAAACCAGAACACACATTGGGAGAAGGCCGAAGACTAAAGTGCAGAGAGTCCCCAGAGTGTGCAGCCTGGGACCGGACCGGGGCACTCAGAGAGGGGAGGAGGGGGTGGGCGTAGGGCCACAGCTGTGGGACACTCGCCGACCTGGTAACACTTCTCTCTGGGACTGTCCACTTTCGGCAGCTCCCAAGCAAAGTCTGGGTCCCATCCCTGGTTGGTAGTGACTCGTGAGCCAGAAGGGAGCAGAGGGTTGCGGGGTGGGGAAAGAGAGCTTTATGTAAAATCGCTGAGTCCCAGCTTCCGGTATAGGGATGCAGGAACAACCCTAAGGCAGAGTCTCTCCTGGGGAGGGTTTGATGAAGATGATCAGGTCCTACTGGTGAGGACTGCAGGGGCAAGTCGCTCCTCTGGGTGGGAGAGGGGCCGCCAAAGAAAGCCCTGGCTTCCACTAGGGCGTGTAAGCAGGGGGCGGCTGGAACTGGTTGATGACCTCATACTCGGCGGGGTAGGGCTCATTCTCCTCCATCTCCGACAGCAGCTCCAACGCCTGTTCCTCCTCCTCTGTGGGGTAGTGGCGCAGGAGGTTGGCTGCAGTGGCCAGGATGGAGGCTCCGCCGGCGCCCGCTACCAGGTAGAAGCTGACGGCAAAGGTGACATAGACCTGGGAGCCATGGTACTTCTTATGCTGCTGCTGCTGGGCCAGGATGAGTTCAGAAGCCCAGTAAGAAAAGCCGATGACGGTGGCACACTGCAGGACTAGGTGACAGAGGGACAGCAAATGGGATTAGCAGGCAACCTGCAGCCAGGATGCTTGAGGAACCAATCAGGCTCTCATCTGATTCTCAGAGAACCTGCCTGGCCTCAGTCTATGCCTGGGCATGGGGTTCTATGCATGCGGGGGTGGGGACGTGGCTACCCAACCTCCTCTGAGACAGACAGGTTTTCTCTGTCCTAAGGACTTCCAATGGGATCTTATCATGGTGGTGCATGTCTGTAATTTCAGTGCCCTGGGAGGCTGAGGCAGGAGGCCTGCAAGTTCAAGCCTAGCCTGGGCAATTTAGCAACTTACTAGAAACTGTCTCAAAATATAAAATAAATAAGGGCTGGGGCTATAGTTCAGTTCAAAGACTCTGGGTTCAATCCTCAGTGCCATTAAAAAAAATTGGTAATTGGTACATTAAGGGCACTGGATGTCCCTAGGTATTCTAAGGAATAGATAAAGTCAAGCAGTTTGAGAGCTGGAGGTGCCCAGCACAAGTCAAACTGACACACCAGCCCCATCCCAGGGGAAGAAAGCAGCCATGCACAAGCATAGAGGCTGGTGTGAGGGGGAGAGGAAAGCAACCCAACCACGCACTCCAAGAAGACAGCCTGCTTCCTTCCTTGCTCAGTCCAGACCCTGAGCTCCAGGGGGCTTCAAATGCCACTTCGGGAAAGCTGTGAAATTCCTGGCAGAACTGAACAACACTCTGTCCCTCTCTGCAGCTGGGCTCAGTAGGACCACGAACCTGGGAAAGGCATCTGCAAATGACCGAGGCAAACTGCAAATGTGCCCAGTGCACTGTGAATGGCTGGACATGTCACACAAGCACCTGGCATGTGTGTGCTCACAGAAGAGCCCCACACCCCCAGACCCCACAGTATTCCCTACCCCGCAGCACCTTCTTCCCCACACAAGCAGGTCGGGGCTTACCGGTGAGGATGTGGGCAAAGGCATAACGGCGGGTGATCTTCAGGGCTGGGTGCTTGGGCCCAAAGACGTCCAGGAGGAATGCAGAGAGACTACACAGGATACCCAGAAAGCAGAAGGCAGCAATGACGCGTAGGAGCAGCACTGTCTGTGGGTTCATGCAGAAATCTGGGGGGAAGAGGGACATCCAAAGCTCAGGGCTTCAGGAAAGAGCCTGTGCTCCGGCCCCTCCACCACCATCCTGGGCAGCCCAGGGAGGCCCTGCTGGTCTGCAGAGGGGTGGGCGTGACCTCCATGCTGGCAGACAGGACTCCAAGATCACTGTTCCCTCCACCTCCTGTCCTCCTCTTTCAACTAGACTAGTCTGTGTGCAGGGTCCCATGCCATTGTTGGCCAAGCTCTCCCACCCATCTTCAAAGACCACAACAATCAATCAATGGGGCACATTAACCCATTCTGCCAAAGAATAGTCATGGCTGGCAGGGAAATCCAACTGACTTTTGAGCTGAGATTCCCAGACTAGCAAAGCCCAGACCCCAATTAATGTCCATTCTCCATTTCTTCAACTCATCCGTTTCCTTTCCACTCCCTAAAGAAGTTGACACTACACTAAATAAGAGGGCAAACAGGGCCGGGGATTTAGCTCAGTCGTTTCACTGCCTGCTGTGCAAGTGCAAGGACCCGAGTTCGATCCCCAGTACCAAAAAAAAAAGAGACCAAACACAGAAGGACAGATGCTGTCTGACTGCACTCATATCAGATACCTAGAGGAGTCACAGAGACAGAGACAGAAAGTGGAATGGCAGCTGCCAGGAAAGAGGGAAGCCAAGGTGTTATCACCATGTGCGTAGAGCTTCAGTTTGGGATGATGGAAAAATACTGGAATTGGACATTGGTGGTGGTTGTATAATCATCAATGTGAAAATAATGATACTTGCTGGACATTTAATATGACACTTTTTTAAAGAAAGTTTTTTGACATAGGATGCTGCCACATAGTTCAGGCTGGCCTTGAACTCACTATGTAGCCCAGGCTGGCCTTGAATTTGTGGCAATCTGCCTGCCTCAGCCTCCCAAGTCCTGGTATTACAGACATGCACCACCACACCACTTAACATGGTAAATTTTATGTCAGTATATTTTACCACAGTAAAAAAATAAAACTAAGGAAAGAAGAAAAAGTTGAAGCAGTTTAGAAATATGTGTAACTACAAGAAGGCATTTAATGAATTAAGATCCTGGAGCTAGGTTCTGGGGTACAGCACTTGCACATCACGCCTGTAAATTAAAAAAAAAAGTTAAAACAGGCTAGGAATGTAGCTCAGTGAGAAGGCCCTAGGTCCCTGGGTTCAATTCCCCATATCACCAAAAAACAAAACAAAAACAAAACAAACAAAAAACCCCACAAATTCGCCAGGCAGCTGCTGGCTGGGCCGAAAGGCTCGTGTGCCTCCATGTGGCTCAGAGTCACCCACCAGGCTGCCCTCAGAGCTATCTGTCATGTTCTTGCCTGCTGGCCGAGCACCCCAGCCTGCAAGAGTCCTGCCAGCAGCTAGCACCAGCCTGTGCTGCCTTGGACAGCACCAGGAGCTGAAAGGATTGAAGCCCAGGGCTTTCCCTGGGCTGAGCAAGACCAACCTGAACTATATAGCAAGGCCCTGTCTCAAAGAAAAGAAAAGAAAAAAAAGACATGCACCTGATGGAAAGCTTCAGCTTCATAGCGGACACCATTCCCTGCTCCAAGGGCAAACTTTTAGATAGAGCCTCGAAAATCCCTGCAGGAGCAGCCCCTGTAGAGTTGGGTCAAATGCTGATCCATGCCACCACTCAGGGGATTCAGATTCAGAGGCTCTAGGAAGTTAAGTGACTTCCTGCAGGTCACACAGTGACCCCCAGCCCTGCACTGTGCTGCTCGGAATCACCAGCCACCAGCAGCCGCTCCCTCCCAACAGAGATAATCAATCAAGTCTTAAGGAGGTCCCTGTGTGCGCAGGGTCAGATGCTAACATGAAAGCTGGCAGCACCTTCTGCCAGCCTGCAGCTGCTAAGCTCACTGAAGGAGCAGCTGGAAGCGTGAAATCTCCAAAAAAACCCCCAAACCAAACCAAAACAATAAAGGCAAAGTAGGTTTGGGTCATTCAGCAAGAGGAAGTGCTAATGCGGGAACCATCTGGGCTTTGGTGTTTAGGCTTCTTCGGTAGTGAGGCCTCAGAGTCCAGCCTGGGAAGTGGCCGGGACAGAAGAAAGCCTCTGGAGCTGGCACCAACTCCTAGGGCGACAGAGGGTTCGGGTCACCTTAAGCCAGTCACCTGCCCGCCCTCCACCTGCTCCTTATGGATCACTGAAAGCAGTAACACTGGCCTCAGCTGGCACAGTGCATGGGGAGGACCCACTGACACTGCCAGTGAAAGGGAGGCCACCAGAACTGTCACTGCCCCACTAGCAAGCAGCTGTTTCACCTGGGCCACAGTCACCCCCTGGTGCACCTTTCCTTCTTTTCTTTGGCTTTATTTTTTTGAGTCAGGGTCTTGCTATGTTGCCCAGGCTGGCCTTGAACTCGAAGTGATCCTCCTGCCCAGCCTCCCAAGTGCCAGGATTACAGGGATGTGCCCTCATACCCGGCTGGACCTTTCCTTCTTACACAGAGACTTCCTGTCAGTATTAGGCAGAGGAGGCACCTGCCAAAGCCAGACTGAGGGTCTGCTGCAGTAGGGTGACAATGTGGCACCGAGAAGGGGCTTTTGACCCAATACTCAAACAGGTTTAACAGGTTTTGTTTTGGTTAGTGTGGTGGCACACGCCTGTAATCCTAGCACTTGGGAGGGTTAGGCAAGAGGATTGCCATGAGTTCGAGGCCAACCTGAACTACATAGTGAGACGCTGTTTCAAAAAAATAAACAAGGCTGGGTATTTAGCTCAGTGGCACCGTGCCTGCTTTGCAAGCACAAGGTCCTGAGTTCAATTCCCATTACCAAAAAACAAACAAACAACAGCAACAACAAAATCCAGGTTTTGTTTCAACTCCCTTTCTTCAGAACCAAACTGTGAGTAAGCCCTCAGGTTTAGTGCAGAAACCAAAAATGTGACTGTCCCTTTGGCTGCTGGATACTCCAGGAGCCCACTTTGTATCACTGTGGACTGTCACCAGGGGGTCTCAGAGCACACAAGAAGGACAGGTTATCATCCTGGACAGGCTGGGCACTTAACACAGAGCCTCTCCTGGGGCCATCACCTCACCACCTTTCTCACTTTCCTTGCGGTCCAGCAGGAAGGCAAGGAACATCTGCTCCCTAGAGAGGACTGCTGGGGACACAAGTCCCCAAGGTCATGCAGTATGGCTCTATTTGTGGGAGAAAGGGACAAAGTCCTGACTTTAAATCCAAAGCAGTGCTTTCGTCCCCAACACTCAGGCTGGACAGCCAGCGCTTCCCACCCTGCAGTTGTGCCCTGCCTGCTCCCTTGGGTAAACACTGCTTGACTGTCCCCATGGTCACCAGGGAAGGAGGCAGCTGCTGTGTAAGAGGATCTGAGGAACTGACTTTGCCCAAGGTCACCAATGAGTCACCCGCTGAGTTGGTTCTATGGCCTGGCCCTTCCTTTCCACCTGCCTGTCATCCTCTAATCCCTGCCTGACCGAATGGGCCTCGGGCCCCTCATGCCGCTCATTCTCCAAGCACTGTCCCAGCCCCTCTCTTGTGTGTTTTCACACCTGCCAGGACTCTCCCTACTGTGATGTTTTTGGCTTCCAGACATCACTGTGACAAAGGCCATTAACAGGGCCCTCTTGTGCCCAGCTGTGTCATCGCGCAGACACCAATGGTGCTAGCCAACCTGCTAGAGGACAGGCCCAACAGGACCTGTATCAGCCACCACCCTCGGGCCCTTCCTGCAGGACCTTAGGCTTCCACAGCTATTGCCAATCATGACTCACTTGACTTCCTCATCCTCCTAAGAGGCTTCCGGAGGCTGCTGGCAGAGCTGCCCTTTGCTGGGCACCCTGAGAGGTAGAAAGGATCTGGGGTTCCTCTTCCCAGGGCCACTAAAAGTCTGGAGGTAGGCAGCCTCTGGGGAGTGGAAGGATTCAGGGAAGAATCTTCTGAACTGGTCTGCATTTGCTAAAGCTCCAAGTCTCTGTGGGTGACAGCAGAAGGATGAGTACTTTTGCATCAGGAACACCCACCAATGCATTGTGGGACAAAAAGCACAGCTTTTGGCAAAAGCTCAGCTACAGCTAGGAGACTAGGAGGCTGAGGCAGGAGCATTTCATGTTTGAGCCCAGCCCAAGCAACTTAGCAGTCACTAAGGTGGGGGATACAGCAGGCTTAGCAAGACCTTGCCCCTAAAAAACCTTTTTTTAAAAAGAACTGAGGGGGCTGGGGATGTAGCTCAGTGGAGCTGTGTCTGCCTGGCAAGTGCAAGGTTCCAAGTTCAATCCCTGCTACCAAAAAAAAAAAAAAAAGGAATGGGGATATAGTTCAGTAAGAAGGTCCTGGGTTAAACCCCAGTACCCTAGTATGGCACAAAAAAAGAAAAAGATAGGTAAATGGCAGCTCTGATCAAAAGAAAAGGAAACACAGAGAGCAGTAAGATGTGGTAAGGAGAGTGTGGACTTTGGAGTCAAAGCCACCCAGGTTGGCTGTGTGTCCCTGAGCAGACCACTCAACCTCGCTGAGCCGAGATCTCTGTGAAGCACAATGACAAGAGCACCTACCAAACCCAGACACTGCTCAGGAGAAACTACGGGCTGAAATGAAATGCACCTTGAATGGTACCTGGCACCTGGAGAGACAGGAAAGTCTATGAGCACCGAATCTGTGCCCCAGCCCTGCTCCCTCTGGAGACAGGGAATACACCAGGCTTCAGGGTCACAAAGATCACACACTCACACAGGATATCACATGCGTGAAGGACCAGTAGGACCAAAAGACCAAGTGTGGAGAGAAGGGAGAGGAGAAGCATCAGGGACTTCCTGATTCCTCAGCTTTCATGATGGCTCACAGGGGATAACTGCCAACTCTCCTATTAACACACACCAAGTGTCCCCGGCTTGTGATGGCAAAGGAGACAGCCAGGGTAATCAGGCAAAAACTGTATGCAGGTTAAAATTCCCAAGCAGTAGCCAGGTGTGGTGGTGCACACCTGTAATTTCAGCACCCTGGGAGGCTGAGGCAGGAGGATCACAAATTCCAGCCTGGGAAATTTAACAATTTAGAGACCCTGTCTCAAAATGAAATTATAAAAAAGGGCTGCAGATACAGCTCAGTGAGAAGGCGCTGGGCCCAATCCCCATTTGCTCTAAACATAGAGCAAATGTAATATAAAGGTTAAGGTAACATGCTTTACGAAAGATGAAATCTGGTCGGAGTCCTTTGTCAAAAAGGGCAAACACACTTGTGAACAAAGTAGAAGATGCACCAATATTTTTATTTTAACATTCCTTTGATGAGGACGCACACCAAATTACAATCTCATGAGCCGGGGATTTAGCTCAGTGGCGCCATGCCTGCCTTGTAAGTGCAAGATCCTGAGTTTGATCCCTGGTGCCAGAAAAAAAAAATTATAATCTCATGAGATTACTCTTTATGACTGCTGAAGTAAACAAAGGATAAAAACTAAGTTATTGATATCTGCATCAATAAGACAGTCTCAGCTATGCCACTCAGCTAGGCAGCCTTGGGGAGACAGCTTCATGTTCCAGAGCCCCAGCTTCCTGGGCCTCTGCAATAAGGATGTGGGGTCAGATGACCTCCTCTCCATTACATGACTTTTATGAACCCTCCACTGAAGCCGCAGAGAGGGCACATCCAGGGCTCTCTCCCAGTCTGCATGGGACACCGAACTCCTGAAACACTGGAACACTGTGGGATCCAGTGCAAGAGGCTCAACTGAAGGGCGGGAAGCTGGCAGCTGAGCTTCCCAGATGCAAGCGGAGAGGAATATGCTTCAGGGAAAACCATCCAACCCACTCCAATCCTGAAGGCCTCTGTCCCATCCGGTATGTGCCAAGGAAAAGGTTTCAAGACTCCCATCAGGTGGACAACTTTGGTTTTAAAGAGCCAACCAGACCACTGGTACCATGAGGGTGAAATATGGAAACAAACCAGAAGTTCCTATCCTGTTCTCTACAAAATTGTCCTAAAGCCTCTAAAACCCAAGAGAGAAGCAAAACATGAAGAGAAGGCTCAAAGACAATATCAAGCCATAGGTTAACGTTTCTTAGCCCAGGCCTGAAGAAGTGGTGCACTGAGTAACTGCACAGGAGGAGCTGCAGATTCCAGCAGGAAGGGCTCTGATGGGGAGCAGCAGACACCTGGAATGCATCACCGCCAGAGAGTGACACCGGAGGAAAAAGGAAGAACTTCAAGAATGGTTCAAAAGATCTTGGGAGGCCGGGGATTTAGCTTAGTGGTTCTGCCGCCTGCCTCGCAAGCGCATGGTCCCGAGTTCAATCCCCAGCACCAAAAAAAAAAGGAAAAGATCTTGGGAGACAAACTGTATTCTTACTAAGGACTGTTTGGGGCTCACTGACCATTTTTTATGTTCAACACCAGATGATGCAGTCCTGCCCTCACCAAAGCCTTTACCCTCACTATTGGAGACAGGAAGGGGAAGCTGAGCTAGGGGCCTCTGTGGGACAGGATCTCCTGTAGGCACTGGGCTCCTGCTGGCAAAGGCACTGACTTTTGATGATCTAAAATGCCACACCCCCTTTCTCTGATAAAGGTTCAATTACCAAGGAACCCTCAAATAGCCTCTCAAATCTAGTGGTATTAAAACTTCTTTTTTCTCTGCCAGTCAGGATGCCCCAAAGTGGCTCGCTGTATCCCACAGGTTCCTTAGGGGGGACGGCAGATTGTGACACCTAGCACCCTTACCCTTTCCATATACAATGCAGGCAGAATCACAAAATAGCAACAGACCGGATTAGCATGGCTGTGAGGAGTAGGTGCTAAGCTGAATAACATCAGAATTAATGAGGGGCCAGACCCCAAAGAGAGCCACCTGGTGGGCATGAGCACCAGGCAGGACAGGGACTGCTTCCTTCAACCAAGTGCCGGCCTCAGGTAAGCTTTGCTCAGCCAGTCCCCCACGCCGCACCGACACCCAGGCCCGGAGGGCAGGAGCGCAGCGCCCTCACCTTTCAGCAGGTCCGGGTGCACGTAGCCCAGCACGTCCGAGACCCCCAGCTCCTGGCGGGAACAGGTGCCTCCGTGGATGTGCAGCCAGGCGGGCTCGGCGAGGGCAGTACATAGCGCCGTGATGGACAGGGCGCCGGGCAGAGCCGAGGCCAGGCTACGCTCGGGCTGCTTGGGCAGAGCACTGCCTCCCGGGCTCCTCCGCCGGCGCCCGCCCGGCAGCCCTGCGCCTCCAGGGGCGTACATGCCCGGGGCCGCCCGCCGTCGCTGTGCGGTCGCTGCGGGTCGCCTGCCTGTCCCAGGTAGGAGAGCAATGTCCTGGATGCCAGCGCTGAGCTGTCAAGGGCGACAGTGGAGGATGAGGGGTGGGACCCAGGACTGAGCAGAGACCGGAGGACTGCGGGGATTAGGGAATTAGGGGATTAGGGGAGCGGGGACCGGGTCTCGGGGTTAGGGGTGCGGGGCGAGGACCAGGAGAAGGTGGGGGACCAGTGGGGGCTGTGCAGACCAGGATGGGGGGGCTCGCTGAGATCCTGGTGATTGGCTACTGGGGGAGGGGAGACTCTGAACCCGGGGTCTTGGCCAGAGGGTGACGAAGGGCGGAGGGCCTGGCTGGGCCAAGGGGATCCGAGACCGGAGATTTAGGACCCGCACTTTGTGGTGCGACCTGGGGCAAAAAAGACCCTTCTCACTCCGCCCCCTGCTCCTCACCGGTCAGCCGGCCTCAAGGCTGGGATGGCGCCGCTCTGCCCCGTCACGGGCTTCTCGGCTGCCCGGGGCCGAGCGATCCCAGGCCCCAATCCCGCAACGCCCAGGCCGATCCGGGCCGAAGCACTTCCGGCTTCCTCCTCCTCTGCCTCCGCCTCCTCTGGCTCCCCGCCCCGAGCCCCGCCCGCGCGAGCAGCCGGCTCTCTGCGCAGCTCCTTGTGGGAATAGTAGTTCGGAGCGGTCCCGCGACGCTTCCCAAGGCTAGGTGAGCGGAGCGACCACAACTCCCAGAGGCCCGAGCGACGCAGCGGGGGGGGGGGGGGCTCTTCAGTTCCCAGGACAACCCGGGCCCCGGGCGGAAGTTGGAGCCTGTTTGCCACGGGAAGCTGGAGCGGGCGCTGCGGAGCTCGCGCCGTGGGACCCGTGGTCGGCGCGCTTACTCAGCCCACCTCCTCACTCTGCGCCGGCTGCCATGAAAGACACGCTGGTGCTGCTGGGCCGTGTTCCGGCGCACCCGGACTCCCGCTGCTGGTTCCTGGCCTGGAACCCCGCTGGGACCCTGCTGGCCTCGTGCGGTGGTGACCGTCGAATCCGTATCTGGGGCACCGAGGGTAAAGCCTAGCCTGGCCTAGCTGCGCGAGCTGGCGTCGAGGCTTCGGCTGGTGCACAGTGTGAGAGCCGAGGGAGGAGGACTGTAGCCACCCCGGGGAGGGTTTGTCGGGCAGAGGGGCGGCCTGTTCTCAAAACAAAACGTGAAGCCAAACTGCGACTGACTGCTCCAGGAGTTGGGACAGTTGTTGAGGCAGGAAAGTGGAGGGAAGGTGGTAGGAACGTAGCCCACAGAGTGTCTTGTGGCATTCGGGAGCTATTGACAGTTTTAAATCAGGAAGGTGCCATCTCCGATTTAGTTTAAAAGGATGCCTCTAGAGGAAGTAGCCAGTTACATCTTCATAAAGGCATGTTATTGAATACACGGATTGAGCTTTAGGCCCCAGCTGGGCTCCCGTTACAGCCCCCTTGATTGAATAGCATTGATGGTAGGGCAGCACCTTCTTGTGACCTCCAACCCCAAAGCCCAGCCTGTCCTCTGCCTGTAGGTGACAGCTGGGTCTGCAAGTCTGTCCTTTCCGAAGGCCATCAGCGCACTGTCCGAAAGGTAGCCTGGTCTCCCTGTGGGAATTACCTAGCCTCTGCCAGCTTTGATGCAACCACTTGCATTTGGAAGAAGAACCAGGATGACTTCGAGGTAATCAGGCTGAATGGAACCAGAATTTTTGTCTCTTTGCTCCCCTGTGCTGCCCTCTTCCATCTTAGGAAGATTCCATCTTAGGTTTAGGAATATGGGCCAACCAGGGCCAATTGGGCGGGACTTGTGAGAAAGCTACAGCCTTCACTTAATTTTTCATACTATACAAATCATGATCTTGGTTGGATTTTGACAAATCATAGGGGTCATAGCTACCATTAATTTTTCTCCCTCTTCCCTTTTTAGTGTGTAACCACTCTTGAGGGCCATGAAAATGAGGTTAAGTCCGTGGCTTGGGCCCCGTCTGGCAACCTTTTGGCCACTTGTAGCCGAGATAAGAGCGTGTGGGTCTGGGAAGGTGAGTCCAGGTCCCTTCAGGTGCAGTAGAGAACCAGCTCACAGACATTCCTGTGTCCCTGACAGGGTTGGCTCCTTTTTTCTCCCACAGTTGATGAAGAAGATGAATATGAATGTGTCAGTGTCCTCAACTCCCATACACAGGATGTCAAGCATGTGGTTTGGCACCCAAGCCAGGAGGTAAGAATCAGACTAGGGCAGTTGGTGGAAGGAAGTTTGGTATGGAAGCTTCTGGCCAGCCTTCCTCTGCCATTTCACCTCAACCTGGCATTGTAGGGATCTCTGTTACTGAAAAACAGGAGTTCCTTTATAAAAATAGATTCCTGGGACTACCCTGTCCCAGTAAGGGAGGTATTGGACAACAAGTACTTCCTGAGCCTCACAGTCAAGTGCTGGGTCTCCTTCCCCCTCCCCCAGCTGTTGGCCTCTGCCAGTTATGATGACACAGTGAAGCTGTACCGGGAAGAAGAAGATGACTGGATATGCTTTGCCACCCTTGAGGGCCACGAATCCACTGTGTGGAGCTTGGCTTTTGACCCCAGTGGCCAGCGTCTGGCGTCTTGCAGTGATGACCGTACCGTGCGCATCTGGCGCCAGTATCTACCAGGCAACGAACAAGGTGAGGGTCCAGTTGTAGAGTTAAGAGACTCTTCAGAGCTTTACGGTCTGCTAAGACACCATGAATCAAAGCAAATAGGGGTCGGAAGTAACATGGACCACAGAGGGCTCCAGTTAAGAGTGCTGGAAGAATCAGAAGAAGGTTCATGAAACAGCCATTTTGCCCAAATCTGAAAGGGCATGTAGGATGTTAACACAAGGGAAAGAATTTCATACATGAAGGGAAGATCTAGTAAAAGCTTGGCAGCAGAGCCAGGGATTTAGCCCAGTGGTTCTGTCACCTGCTCCGCAAACGCAAGGTCCTGAGTTCGATCCCCAGTACCAAAAGAAAGCTTGGCACCAGGACGATAGGCATTGGTGGTGGGATTGCCTAGGCTTACATGAGGAATGGTGATTTGTGTGGATGGGACAGAGGCTAGAAAGAGCCGGGGAGGAGTACAGTGGGTTGAGCCAGCTGGTGGGTGGGGATAAGCGGCAGGCTAACTAGTTAGGTACAGGTCACCAGAACAGGGAAGCTTCAGGAAGATGAGCCTGGCCACAGTATGTAAAGCAGATAACGAAGATGGGGACAGAGTTGGAGACCAGGACTCGGGCAAGAGAGGTTCTCCTTGGCAGCGGTGCAGGTTTGCCCTTAAGATGCCTGGGACATGGACAGGTCTTGGGCTTAAGAGAAGTCTGTCATGCAGGGGTGGCATGCAGCGGCTCTGACCCCAGCTGGAAATGCATCTGCACTCTATCGGGCTTCCACTCCAGGACCATTTACGACATCGCTTGGTAAGACTTGAGTGAACCCACCGCACTCAGGGATTTCAGAGATATCATGACCTGTTCTGCCCTCTGCCAGTTTAGGAACTAAGAGCAGCCGCCCTGTTTCTTAAGATCAGGTCTGTTGGCTTTGAGCTGGCTGGCCTGGGGTTCACAGGAGTGGAGAGCAGACTTAGACCTAGGCCAGCCCCTGATTACGGTCCCAGCCTGTGGGGGCAGCAGCAGCCTTTGGGGTTTACACAGCATCAAAATCTGTGACTGGGGTTATTCATTCTGGCGGGAGGGATCAAACCCAGGGCCTAATGCATGTTAGGCAAGTGGTCTCCCACTGAGTACACTCACAGGCCCTTGACAGGTCTTTACGGTTTGGTAAAAGTGACTACTATGCTTACGGAGGCTAGAAAAGCTGCCCCATTTGTACAGGAGTGGTCAGAGGGCAACTCTGGCTCTGAGAATCAGATCAAGAAAAAATCCTAAACCATGAAAGAAGTTGATGCACATGCAAGATTTATTTATATTCGCAAACATTTGCGAATAACCTGTGTATTCAGCAGAAATGGACTTAAGTAAACTATGAATTCAATAGCTAGCCTGTTTTTGAAGTTAATACTTCATGAGCTGGGATGTAGCTTAGTGGTAGAACATTTGCCTAGCGTGCTTGAGGTCCTGAGTTTGATCCTTAGCACTACAAAAGAAAGAAAAAAATACTTCCATGACAAGGGTGGGCACTGTTTATGCTATGTGAGAAAGATGCCATCAGATTGTAGGTAGGATAATTCTATATTTCAGATTAATTATATGGGGGAGTAAGTGGAAGCACCTGAAGGCTTAGGAGACGATGTCTGCAACCCTTTCTGTCAGACTGTGAAAAAAATCTCCCTACCACATTGCCTGAGTGGGGAGGCAGGACCACCTGGGTACCTGCTGACCGTGTATTCCCCCAGGTGTCAGCTGACAGGGGCCCTGGCTACCGCTTGTGGGGACGATGCCATCCGCGTGTTTGAGGAGGATCCTAGCTCAGATCTGCAGCAGCCCACCTTCTCCCTGACTGCCCACTTGTGCCAAGCCCATTCCCAAGACGTCAACTGTGTAGCCTGGAACCCCAAGGAGCCAGGGCTCCTGGCCTCCTGCAGTGATGATGGGGAGGTGGCCTTCTGGAAATATCAGCGGCCCGAAGGACCCTGAGCCTCCTTGACAGGACAGTCCTGGTTTCCTGGAAATGTCCTAAGACTTTCCCAGCCTGAGAAGACCTGGAGAAGCATCTGTGACTTTCATTCAGCTTGGCTCACTTCTATTCAGACTTGGCTACCCACATATAGAGCCCTTAGGGCTACTTACTCTTTCCCTCTGACATGAGGGCCTCAGTGGAGCCTCAGACCTTCAGGACATTGTTCTGCCATAGATTTTGCTTGCTCTAGGACATGGTGTTATACTTTGTGCGTGAGGGGGTGAATATAGTATTTATAATTACTATGCATATGTAGGAGTGTGTCTCAGCCCTTTCTCAAATTGTAAGCTTTATGGAAATAATCCATCTTAATCCAAAGTCCTGTTTATAGAGACACTCAGTTTTTTAGAGTTCCATCCTGAATTGTCTGAAATAGGCCTTGCATTCTCAATTTCTAGATAAATTCTTGCACTTAAGACATTTAATGTTGAAGGAACTTTTTTTTTCTTAGTGGAGGTTTATGTAGAATAAAGGGACACCTCTGCTTTCCCTTAGAAGCCCTTGCATACTGCCCACACCATTACACTGTGAGGACAACTGGGGGTGTGAGAGAATAAATGGAGAAAGACATGAGGCCCAAAAGGGAATTACTACCGGCCACAGGCTATATCTTAGCAGATTGGTTCTTCCATGGGGCCCAGAAACATGAGATGGAAGCTCATGGCCCTCTGAAGGACCATGGCACAGACGTCACCATGCGTCTGTGGCGTCTATTTTTAAGGTAGAGAATAAGTAGAAAATGATGCCTGTCAAGGTCCCTTAGGGGAGCCATCACAGAGCAGTGTGGAAGTGCTATCTGTGTAATCAGGTCTTCAGTATCAACTTTTGGTGTGGGGGGGTTACCGGGGATAGAACTTGGGACCTTGTGCTTGTGAGGCAGGCGCCAGAACCACTGAGCTAAATCCCTGGCCCTTCAACTTGTCTTCTGAAAAATGGCTGGGGAGAGGGTGTCTCCAAGGCAACAGCTTTCACTTCATTTTCTGCCCTGTAGGAATCATGTCCTTAGACTGGAGAGAGCTGGCCCAGCATCTGGAGTAATGGTTCTCATGAACCCCAGATCCCTGGCATCCTGAGGCCCATTTGGGGTGGCACTGGGGTGATCAAGGCCATGACAAATTAATTAGTAGTCCGAGACTTTACTGCCTCGCATGTACAGTAGAAACATTGCCAGCTTCCTTGACCATGTCCTTGACAAGCAGTACCTGATTAATAAATGTTGAGCCTGAACATCTCTAGTACACTGAGAAAATAAGGACCACTGACACTTCTGCAAAGATGAATGGAAAAGCAGGTGTACAGCAGAGTCAAAGATGAGTTAGCTATGCCCTTTTTACTAGAGAGAACAAATGGTATTCAGACTTGGCTCTGGTTGACCTTTTCTGGAAAATGAGCAGAAGGAACCTTTCACCAATAAGTGTTCACTGCCAATGATAAAATCCAAGCTTAAAAGCCAAAATTAGAATTTCTGAGGGGCCAGGAATTTAGCTCAGTGGTTCCGCCACCTGCCTCCCAAGCACAAGGTCCCAAGTTCAATCTCTGGTACCCCCCCAAAAAAATTTTTTTAAAAGCTATGTCACCACCATGAGCTTTGCTGGTGGTGATATTCATGAATGTGACTTGTGAATAATGAAATGCATTGACATTTGGAGGATTACTTAATTCAGTGAATCAACATTTTCCAAATAATCAGTTAAAAAATCAGGCAAGAGATTCACTCAAAGTCTGAGGCCAGTGGGTTCAGTTAACAGTACAAGGTGCACAGGTAAAGTTTTAGATTCCATCATTGCCTTTAAGTAACTACCTTGTGTAGTCTTGGTGTAGTATCCAAGGACAGCCACAGTTAGCTGAAATGGCTACTTAAAAACTCCCTTTTGGGCCACGGATTTAGCTCAGTGGTTCTGCTGCTGGCCTCGCAAGCACAAGGTCCCAAGTTTGATCCCTGGTACCAAAAAAAAAAAATCCCTTTTCCAGGCTGGGGATTCAGCTCGGTGGTACTGCTGCCTGTCTAACAAGCACAAGGTCCTGAGTTCCATCCTCTGTACCAAAAAAAACCAAAAAAACCTTTTCCAACTCTGTGAAATCAATTCAAGCCACATCCAACAGATTGACTGTACAAGCAGCTCTGAGAGCCTCAACTGTCTTATGTTAATCCAGACCTTAGCATGACTGCAAAATTGTTAACTACTCTTCTCCCTGGATTGGTTTTGGAAGTTATTTTTCAAAAAAGATGTTAACATAAAGTTTTAACATAGTACCTATATAATGTAGATAATAAAAGATTTGGAGTCTTAATTTTTTATAGTGTAAAGGGGTCATGAAATCAAATCATTTAACTACTGGCCTAAGGGAACTGCCCTTCAAAATCATCTTTCAATTTTGTGCACATCTATTCACAAAGAACAGAAGGCAGGAATTTGAAGCAGATCTAGATATTAGGATTACAAAATGAGTTTACCAAGACTGGGTCGGATCCAGCTGGTGCATTTCACTGAGAAGCCCAAACTTAGGGTCTACACACCCCAGGGAGTGGTGGGGTGGGTAACACTGAAGGGGGCCAAAGTAGAGCACCCCACCCAAGAAAGCCCAACTGCCAACCTTCCCTCCAGACTGAAGCCCAACCAAAGGGCAGCTCTATCCTCCACAAGTACTCAATGGGCACAGTAGCTCACGCCTGTAATCCTAGCACTTGGGAGGCTGAGGCAGGTGGAGCACTGCAAGTTGCAGGCCAGCCTGAACTACAGAGACCTTGTCTCAAACACAAACTATTCAAGCAATTGTATGTTGAGTGGTCCCAAGTTGCTTTTATTTAACAAAGCTATTCAAAGCAAAGCAAATTTTCAAACCCAACTACCCCTAAGGTTAGTGGCCAAGAAATATCTTTTTCACACCTTCGGTTGGAGAAAAACTTAATTTGGAATCACTGCAAGGACAAATGGTTCCTCCAAGTTGTCATTTATTAGAATGCCTGACAAGGAACTAAAAGAGCCTGCCTACAGATGCAACACACAGCTTACGTCTGCTGGACAGTGGCTGTGCACACTGGACCAGGGCTCGCACTGCAAAGGCAAAGTGGACAGGTGCAGGGACAGCACCAGCCCCAATAGGCCAGGTCTCAGGCCAAAAGACATGGTCTCTAACCAGCATCCCTTTGTTGCACCCATTCCTGATTCAGGACCAACCCTCTTCTAGCCAAACGTCAATGCCTGGGATTCAATCAGAATCACTATCTGTCTCAGCTTCTTTCACATCCACGCTGAATTTGTACTCCTGGTCACAGCCCATGTATGCATCACTCATGAAGTACAGGGTGTAATTGTGGGCACCGGTGGCGGGAGCCACGAAGTCCAGCTTCACCTGGAGAGAGCAGGCAGGAGTCAGGGCAGCTTGGGCCAGGGGACACACTACCACCCTGTCCACCTCGGGACAGCCTCAGGGCCGGTGACACTCACCTTGGCCTTCTGCTGCAAGGTCAGCCGCTTGATGGAAATAAGGCTGTTGGACTTGGCATCTCCAATCACCACCCACCAGCCCTCTTCACGCTTCTGCAGTGGCCAAAGACAAAAATATTTCAGCATATAAAGCCCGACAGCCATGGGCAACTGTGAGTGGTTACAAAAGTAGGACAACTAAGATCAGGAAGTTTCCCAAAGTTCCTCCCAGAAACACAATTCCTGAAATCGTCAAAGGTGTCTCAATGGATTTCATCTAGGATGATGGACTCGTTGCTTGTGGCTTATTTCCTTGTCTCAAGGTCCCTTGTCATTCAGTGCATGCCACCACTAGAGAACTAACCTTTGGGGGCCAGCAGCTAAGTACAAGGCATACATGCCAGAGAAAATCTGAACGTGGACAGGAACTTGCAGCAGAGGACCCAAGCGCGCCGTGGAGGCCTCTGAAATCCTGCCTGTTGAGAAGCCCCCTCTGCTGGCCACTCCACTATCACAATGCCCATGCATCCCAGTTTAACACACACTTTCCTCAGACCCTGTAGAACAACCTGTTTACAGCACTGAGCGTGAAGTTGATCTGATTTCTGCTGCCAACCTGCAATGATTCTCTGTATAAAGCAGATCAGATTTTCTTTCTGGTGATACTCACCAACCAGAAGCTCAGTAAAGTGTGCCTGACCAAGGAGACAGAACAGAAACCAACTAGAAAAACCCAAGGGTCCTGGAGCTGTTTCAAGACACATGCACTATTACAGTCATCCCAACCAACACCACCCAGTGATGTTTCTAACAATGACCAGGCATCTAAATTACCTAAAAATAAGCAGAAGAGAAAAAACCCATGGCCAAGACATTCTCAGCCTTTTGAGTTCATTATGACTCTCAAATTCCCTCCCATCACAGGAAATGTACCATATAGCAAAGACCTAGCCAGTGGATGGGCCCCAGGTAGACCCCCAGAAAAGCCAGGTTCCAGGATGTACCTGCGGGAAGAGAGGTGCAATGACAGGGCCTGTGACCTCTTCCTCTCGCTCCAGCTGCACCAGCACCACAACTGGCCCACCACTGCAAGGAAGCAGGACAGCATGTGAGTGATGTGCCACCTGTGCTCCGCACAACCGCACACTGTACCCAGCAGGGAGCCTGGCGGGCGCTGGCCTCCCTGCTCACCTTCGGATGCTGTCCTTATCCACCACTTCGTAAGACAGTTCAATGTTGGGATAGCGGTTGCAGAAGCGGGCCACATCCGCGATCTGGCTGTCTGTGAGCTGAAGCAGTGCATTTCGTTCCTCGTCCTCCATCTCCATAATGTCGAAGACGCTCTCCACTCCCTGCAAGGGGCATGCAGAGCTCAGAGAGAGGACACCAGCAAGTGACTGGGCTCCAAAGGGCTAACGTCTCTTCCCCCACTATCAGGCCATCTTACAAAAGGCAGCTCCAAAAAGTACACAGAGCAGCCTCTCAGCCTCTCAAATGGAACCTACAGTCCCCCTCAACTCCTCCATCTGGGTCCAGGATACTTGGTTCTCAGGCACCCCCACTCACCACCCAGCCCACCCGGCTTACCTTGTCCGTGCAGCGCTTGATATGCTCTGAGGTGAAGTGCGGCAGCTGCTTCAGGTAGGAGTCCTTGGACCACATGGCCTGGGTGACCATCTGGGCCAGCTCCATGGCTGCCAGCGCAGGACTGAGCCAGCCGTTGCTAGAGAGCACGTCCACACAGGCCTGAATGAGCCGGATTGCCTGTATGGGGTGGAGGAGAGCAGGCGGGTGGGACCAAGCCCTCCAAGGCTGCCTCTGACCCACTGTGTCCCCGCTTACCCTGGCCTACCTTGCTGAGGATCTCCTCCGTGTCTGACTGCAGTTCAGCACTCAGCTGCATGCGGGACAGGTGAGCCTGCAGCAGCAGGTTGGTCTTTACATGTGGATCGTTGAACTTTGGGTTGTTCAGCTTGTGGGGGACCTTCTGAGCCAACTGATGGGGGAGGAAACGCTGATGATGTTTGGGGAACCCTGCCCAAGACCAGTGTGCCCCAACATAGCCCAGGCTCCACAGGGGCAGGGAGGTGCACAGATGTATGAGGGTGGAGGCATGGGGGTATTGTGGGGTGCTGGTGGCAGCATGCATGTGCCCTGGGCACTGGGGCCAAGGTCCTGTGCTCACCTGGCGCAGGAGGTTGTCCTCGTGGTGCCGGATGGGAATGTTCTCATACTCCGCCGCATTGGAGATGATCTCGATGAGCCCACGCACCTTGGTCTTGGCATTCAGTGACATGCTGAAGAGCTCTGCACGGGAACGAGAGTTAGCTGCTGGGGCTGCACTGCACTCCCCTGTTACACCATCCCGCTCACACACAGGGGCACTTGTGGCCCCATCATGTCACCCCAGTGGGCTCCAGACCCCCACACAAGAGCAGGCTCCTCACAGGGAGGCAGGCAGACAGATTGGCAATCCTTGCGCCTGTGCCAGAGCTCACCGATGGTGGTGTAGTTGATGTAATAGTAGGCAGCAATCATGCCCAGGTTCAGAGGCGCCACATCCATCTCGTCCTCAATGCTGATGCATTTGGATTGCTCCAGGTCGCTCAGTGTCTGCTCCACCAGCTCTGACAAGTGGTCAGACAAGTGGCGATGGGAGATGCCTATGCAGATGAGAGGCAAGTGGGTGTGTCAGGGAGACACCTGGCCAGGGCAGTGAGGACCACCAGGGACCCCTGGCTCCTGAGCCCACTGACCCTGCAGGTTGTAGTAATTGGGGTTCTGTGTCATCCGGCGGTACAGAAAGGTCCAGGTGAGGTAGTCCACAGCATCCTGCTTGTTCTCGATGGTCTTGGTGACAATCTCAGCATTGAAGTGGTCATGCATACAGTGGTCCAGGTGAGACTCTACTGGCAATGGCTCATATAAAAACTTTTTAAAGAAATCCTATGGATTGGGGGGGGGGGATAGAAATAAAAAATGAAAGACAATATGTTGCAAAAGGGCAAATTAAAATCAAGTGAAAATAAGAAGCAGAAGTTGATGAGCCCTAAAAGGTTTTTGAAAGGCATCAAAGTTTGAGGAAGCCGAGTGTGGTGGCGCACACCTATAATTCCAGCACTGGGGAGGCTGAGGCAGGAGGACTGTCGTGAGTTCAAGGCCAGCCTGAGCTACATAGTGAGTTCAAGGCCAGGCTGAATTACACAGCGAGGCCCTGTCTCACACACACAAAAAAGACTGAGAAATCTGTTGAGGCTCAAGATGTCCAGCTGTCACATATGTCCAAGACTGACCTTTTTGGAGCCCTGACACATGATGACGCAGCGGCCCTCGTCATCCTGAAGTGGGCGGTTGGCATGGCCCACCATTTGCAGCACATCATAGATGGGGTAGTCCACATAGCTGGAGGCAGAAGAGGAAGAAAAGGCGTGTCACAGGACAACACACTCAGGATGCCCAAGGGAGAAGAGATGCAGAGATGAGTAGACCAGGTCAGTTTACAGCGAAACACTATTACGAACACCTTTTACTTGCTACCTACGTGTCAGGGTCGTTTTCAGGGGAAAGGGTCATGGATTTGTTGCTCAAAGCCCTTGAACCAAAGCTACAAACCCATCTAAGGCCAAGAGCAAAGTGACTTCCCATTAAAATAGCAAATGTACAGGCCAAACTTTGCAAAAAGAACTGTATCTCACAAGGTGTCATCTAACTTAAAGTCAAACCAAGAAGCAGGTCCAGACATTAAAATGAACCCACATTCATGTCTAAATACTCTGCATTTCGGGAAAAAATTGGGTTAAGCTATTCAGGCCTTTTCTGAGAAAGATTGAGCTTTACTTCATATTTGTCATTATACAGTGACCC